TACTTAAGTATGTAATTATTTTTTGAAAAAATAAATCGCAAAATTAATAAAATCAGCTTTCTCTTATGTCGACCCCTAGGAAACCGATTTCAACCCCAAAGGGTCGATATCCACCACTTTGGGTAGCCCTGGTATAGATGAATAAAAAATCAGGAACATCGGTTTACTAACCTTGGAGATAGCATGTTACATACGAGTACATTATCAAAGAATATACAAATATAAAGATAGGATTTACTCCATGATTTAGTCAGCTTGATAATGTCTTTCTTATTTTAAACCAATGAAAAAAAATTACTTAAAAAATGCGTTTCGTAGTTATCTTAAGTTAACTCTCTGCCAATAATTTGACCGTGATTGATTAATTACATTAATACGCAAAAAAAACTGTAACAGCTAGATCTGGGTGTGCAACAGTCCGAAACAACAAGCATGTGGTAAATCCACTTTCGCTATCTTTCGAACTGACCGCATAGTAACCCTATTGAGAGTTTCGACTACACCACGCATATAGTAATGTGACTCAGGTGTTACGTCAAATATTTTGTTACACAGAACGACTATCACCTTTCTTAGTGATACAAATGTATTCGTTTTACGCAACGGAAACGAAGACAAAACAAGCATGTAATAAATAGTGAGTGTCCTCGAAACAACTAATTGTTTTATATAACATCAACAATGCATTCTCTTATTCAGACATTTGCCGAATTTGATATTTGGCGTCGATTCAATTCTTAAAGTAATTACATACTCGTACTTACTCCAATTATTATCAACGGTGCACTTAAATCAATTGATTTTCAAATTTTTTTAGTTTTAAAATAACAATTTTCAAATTTTAGTTTAAATTATACAAGTTTGTAAGTTTGTATGTTGTTAGTAAATGTAAAAAAAATGTTTAAATATTAGTTGATATAATTATTGGCAGCTAATTTTTTTACGAAAACAATGTTTAAATATTAGTTCATACAATATTGTTAGCTGGTTATTATAAACGCAATGTCTTTTTAAAACGTACAAAGAAATAAGCTAAGTCATCGTGTAAAGATGCCGAAGATCACATCCCTCTTATTAACCGCAAGTATCGCGTGACTTACTAGGCACGTTACACTGCCTGTGACAAATGAACTTTAACCAAATTTTCTTTCATGCACATTCTTGGTAGTAACAAAGTCCAGAGTTAGTATCTCTACAGGGCACGATAAAGTAAACATAGAGTAACTCATGAATAACTTATTTAACGCGAGAATCCCCCCACGTAAGTCGCTGCCGATAAATATTCCGAACCCGACGAACTACGTCACGCCATTGTATTTTAGTGGTCTGATTACACAACTGAGAATCGTGTGAATAGTGTACAAATCATGGAATTCCTAAATATTAACTTGGAACAGGACCAAGACTTTCCGCTAACATCGATGTTAGCCAACTTTTACAGGATAAAATATTCAGGGTTATAAATTTCTTGAATTAAGATTATGTTATTGTTATTTTTTTCTTTTCGAAAATTAACAAAAATTACGTAATAAACAAAGATAAGTATATGCTTCATTTCCTTTGAGATATTTCATTTTTACGCATTATAAGCCTATACATGAACACACAACTACCTAGTGGTAAGCGGTGATGAAACCCTGATAGTAAATTACACTGTCTTAGTGTAACAACTTCTCGTCACTTTTGCCTTGAAGACGATTGTAATCGGATGGAAAGACAGATATAGTCGCTTGATTACTGACAACCGCATAATTTAATGTTAATAATCGATTGCTATGCCTTATTTTGGCCGTGTAATAGTACTATAAGAATATCCACTGCCCCCTATCCTTCCGTGGCTGTGGGTATCGTAAGAGTCTAAGGAGGGAAATAAACTTGGAGATGGGCAGTAGGGTAGTAGAATTTTCCCAATAACAAATTAAAAGTAAAAAAGCCTCCCAAGCGTGGCGCCTATGCCAAATATCCCCCTAATATGGCAATATGGAAGCCTGCCACTAGATGATGATAACGACAACGATTAGGCTTATTTGATTCCCAGTCTAGATTCTCTTCTAAACGATTAGTTTGTGGTTTTGTCTTTATTTATATTATATTCCTCTTTCTTGTGATACACGAATCTTTTCGTTATACAAATACTCTAAGTTTAGGTGAGTTGGTTCCATTATTATATTAAAGAAAATTCGAGATTGTTACGAAAAATAAAATAAAATAAATAAATAAAAATGATATTTATTTACTTTGTTCACATGTTTATATACGGGGGAAAATATGATTAAAATTAAATAAAGTAACAATAAGTCTCATAAAAATAACAAGCAATAATAAAAATTAAAGCTATGTGTAGTTTATTAATGTAGAATCTACAAAATAAAAATTTAAAAGTCAAGTTTATAATATGAGCTATCTGCCTGAACTAGGTTGAGTACCTTTGTTTCAGACCATCACTTACACTATGCGTTAAATAATGTAGGACACTAGATAATTTAAATAATTAAACTATATTATATATTAAATAAAATAACTAAATAACAAATAATACAAAACTATTTTAAAATTTCTAACAACTCTGTGTCTTCGTAATTTAATTTATTCGGAAATTCCCTTACAATTATATTACAATTCTTATAACTTACACTATAATATATATTTAGTGACTTGTTGAGCTCGTTATATAAAAATAGTCCGAAAATATGTAAAATCTGTTCACAAATGCGTGCTTTGTTTGAGGGTTTACACAAACTAAGTCCATTTTTCTCCTGTCCATGGATTTTAAGTTAAATGGAAGTTTGGTATGCTGTTTATATGATGATCAGAATAAAAAAACTGACGGAGAGTCAGTACACTATATGCCAAGTAAAGTTGATGTGTAGGAAACATGAAAGGACGGAGAGTGGCTGCCTTTAGAACTGCTTTCTGAGCACGTTCTGGTGGGAGCAACATTATTTTAGAAGCACCACCCCAGAAAGTAATGCCATAAGTGAGTATGGATGGACAAAGTTAAATAGACCTGTCTTATCGAAATATAAATAATGTAAGAATATTATATACTTGTGGACAAATTTACATGAACGCAAAAAAGGTGTGTATAATACAAAATGTAAAGGATATTTTGACAAATAGCACTACAATTTCTTCAAAAATTTCAGGTTCATATTGTCGTGCCTTTGTAGGTGACCCATTCTCTATGACAAAGAGTTCTGTATGTGCCCTCATACAAATTTCTTCCCATATTATAACTGACTCTCCACCTCGTGCATCTTTTCCAATGATGTTGCGCCTCTAGATTTTAATTCACCCATCGGCAGGCATGATCATCATCTTCTTTCAGGCAAAATCTGGAATCATCTGTGAAGTTTTCCGTTTACGTCCCTGTCCTGCGACGAACACGTATACGAGACACCGTCCAGTCCGCCGATACATCTCAAGAACTCGGCGTAAAACATAGTTTAATACTCGAAATGTTTAGACCACATATTTGTGGGGGTGGAGGTCAGTTTAATTAAATTAACAGGCAACTTAAGTGGCCTTTAGAGTTTCTTCTCAGTTTATTTGCAGGCAAAAATTTAAACAAAATCCACATTTAAGCTCAAATTCAAAAATTGCCAAAATTTGTCGCAGTATGAAATAACGCCATATTACGCAATAATTTCATAAAAACCAACAAAATTCTAAAAAGTAAACTTTCTAAAACTTTTCTATTTTTGATAACATATATTATGTTTGTAGCCAGTACACACGATAAAGGGAAATAAGGAAGAATAATTAAAGGAAGGAAGGGAAAACAAGCGGAGAAATAATTTTTTTTGCGTTCCTCTAAATTTGTCTATGAGTGTATGTACGTTTGCTCTAAGTACGTTTTCTATAGTAAGGACAATCACAAGGCTTTTTTTTTTCATGGACAAAACATTTTCACCGTATTTTAAAAATTAGCACTGACATTTCTTTATTTCAACACGAATAGACCGAAAAATCTCGCGCGACACCGCGGCATGCTGCGCCTTATTGGCACTCGTGAAACGCATAAGTTACTTCATGTTGTTAAAGGACTGCTAAGTAATTGAAACAAGGTTGGATCTAGCCCGTTGCGGCAGCAATCTCAGCGACTCACGTGAGCTCTCGGTACACGAGAGCTTCTTGACTTGTTTGGCTTTTTTTCCAAATTTTCCTAAAAAACTATATCTTAATATAAACTTATATGTTTTCTAACGCACTACTAACATTGTGGATGTTATGGGTTATAAATTACATTGCTGATAGCATAAAATAGTCTATTAATGTATAATATCATGGTCCCTAAGTAACGTAAGGATGTTAACTAAAACTAATGGTCACAATTCAGTAATTTTTAAGTTTAAAGCAATGTTTTTCTTTCGACGGCACGTTATAACACAAATATCTCGTGTACAAATATAAAATGAACAATTTTTACCTTGATAACAGTCCGGTTCAAGATTTTTTATCAGACACACGTCTATACTTCACTTCTAAACGTTTTAGTAAAAATATAAGTACCATTGTCAACATCCACTACCAAGTGTTCCTCAAACTTATAGAATATTTTCTCCCAACTAACTTCAATGTGGTGGTGTGTGGTAAATGTTGTAAGGAAGTGACTAGCGCCATTCAGTGCTCTGCCTGTCGTAAGTTCTTCGATTACCCATGTTCTGGGATAACTGAAATTGGCTATCGCAAGCTAGGAGATAGACAGTCATCGTGGCGCTGTGTTTCCTGTAAGACGTCTCAACAATCAACCCGGCCTGGATCACCACTTCCTGAAACTACACGTCAACCTACTCTTGATAATATTATGATTGAACTGCAGAAGCTTTCATGCCAATTACTGCCCCTTCAAGAAGTCGTCAATGATATTCGAATAACCAAAAACGATATTTCAGATCTACGTAAATCTAACAACAATATGCTAGAAAAGCTTGATAGCTACTTCGAGTTGAAAAAAATGCTGAGCCAAAATATCGTCTCTAAAGGAACAGATAAATAAGATGGAAGCAGAAATTAATGAAAAAGATCAGTGGCTTCGATCAAATAACGTCGAAATCAAGGGAGTACCATTTAAACCTGGGGAGAATCTTTTTGACACTGTAACTAAATTAGGATCTATAATAACCTATCCTGTGTTGAAGAGTAACATTAATTATGTAACAAGTGTCCAGACGCGAGATGCTGGGTCGAACAAGACCAAGCCTATTATTCTTTTTTTTATCAACAAATATATGAAAGAAGACTTCATCGCAGCTTCTCGCCTGAGTAAACGTATTTATACGGAAGATATTGGTCTAAAAGGAAACACCCGTATTTACATAAATGATCACCTTAGTTATTCCAAAAAGATGCTATTGAATAAAACTAAAACTGCTGCAAAAGAAAAAAACTACAAATACGTATTGGTCAAGCACGGGAAGATATTTGTGAGGAAAATCGATACATCGCAAGTCTACAATATAAAATCGGAATCGGACCTAGTCAAGCTGCGTTAACTTACAAATACTCCTTTGTTTATTTATTACTTTTAAGATTCTGGTGTCATTTAAACATTTACATATATTTTTCAACAACAGTCAAACATAGTTTGAGAACCGGTGTTTCTTTCCGCCTTATCACAATCTTTGTAGAGCTTTGTAGAGAGGGTCATTGTAGAAGCGTGCTCGTCGCGACCCATGCCAGCCCTTTTCGGGGCTGCAATTCTACACAGCTGCGCACCCATGCAAACGAGGGTTAGGGCGTCCCCCCAAGGCGACGCACACCAGCTCGTCCCCGTTGGTGTGGAATGCAGCGCGCAAAGCGGCGATGGGGACCGCCACCCGTCACGCACAGCCCGACACGGCGGAAGGTGGAGGACGGAGTGCAGAGTTGGCACGTGGAATGTTAGAGGGGGCATGAGAGATAAGACGAATGAGTTGATCGAAATAATGAAAGAAAGAGAATTAGATGTCGTGTGTATGTCGGAGACCAAACGGAAAGGCAGTGGTACTGAAGAGCTCCCTGGCGGGACGTTAGCTATATGGTCCGGAGTCCCGGAAAGCGAGAACGCCTGCCAGGGAGTGGGAGTGCTGTTGTCGTCCCGGTTGGTCGATCTTATGACTGAATACAAGGTTGTGAACTCAAGACTTCTCTGGGTTCGCTTCAAAATGCGACTGACGAAGTTATTCCTTTTGGCTGTTTATGCGCCGGTAGCTTTGTCGTCCAGGGCTGAGCTGGAGGAGTTTTGGGAGAATGTAAGAGAAGTTCTAGATTTGGTTAAGGGAAACGAAAGAACTGTTGTATGTGGTGATTTGAATGGATGGGTAGGTATCGCTCGACCAGGATACGAGTCGGTGCTTGGAAAGTTTGGCGATAAAAGGGTTAATGATGCTGGCAAGCTTACACTGGCTGTATACAAGGAAAAGGGTCTTCTAAAAAAATCCATATGTACACTAGAGAAAGAAAGAATGAGAGAAGTATGATTGATTTGTTCCCGGTGGATGACCGACTGCGAAAACAGGTGATGGATACACGAGTGTTCAGGGGTTCTGACCTGGGAACGGATCATTATCTAGTAATTTCTAGATTTAGGGGTTTGTTCGCGGGTTCGCGCTACCGGACGGCAGTAACAGAACCACAGTCGGTCTGTCGCATCCGAAGCTGGAAGCTTCAGGAAGCGGATACTAGGGACAAATATCACACGAGGGTAGCCGAAAAGCTTGACACCATCGATGGCAGGAAAGAATGTGTGGAGAGAACATGGCAGAACCTTAGAGATGGAATGGTAAGTGCAGCAGAAGAAGTATGTGGTACGACAAAAGAGGTAGTAGTAAAAGAAGAGATGCATGGTGGAATGATGAAGTGAGAGAAGCTGTAAAAAAAGAAGAAAAAAGCCTGGTTAGACTACTTGGCCTCTAGTAACGATGAGCATATGAGAGAGAAGATGAAAGAAAGATATAAGCTGCGGAAAGTTCATGCGAAAACATTGATTGAGGAAGTACGTGAAAGGTGTAGAATAGAAGCGGACGAGAGGTTGTCGCACAACTTTAGGGAAAACTCCAAACTCTTCTGGAAAGAGGTTGGAAGGTCCCGGAGTGGTGCGATAGCCTTAAGAATGAACAAAGTGCTTTCGAGAACCAATGACGTCCTCTCAGAAAAATCGGACGTCATGCAGCGATGGAGTGAATTTTATAGAGAAATGTATGCGTGTCATGATCTTAATGAAGGATCCGGGGTGACGCCGTGACTGGCACGCCAGACACGGACCTCGATGACACTTAGGTCATCAGCATGAAAGAGATTGAACGTGCGATTCGAACTTTGAAATGTGGTAAGGCTGCGGGACTAGATAGAGTTACTGCTGAAATGGTCAAGTACGGTGGGCCTCGCGTCTGGGACAGCTTCCATCTGCTGTGCAATTTGTGCTGGCGAACGGGAGATGTCCCGGATGATTGGCGATCCGCGGTCATTGTGCCTTTATATAAAGGTAAAGGTTCACATTTTGACTGCGGGTGCTATCGGGCGATCAGCTTGACCAGTTTAGCAAGTAAAGTTTACTCGAAGGTTTTGACACGTAGGATGCAAGAGAAATCGGAAAGATTCTTATGGGAGGCACAATGCGGATTTAGACCTGGAAGAGGATGCACGGATCAAATGTTTTCTCTCCGCATGATCACGGAGAAGCTTCTGAGTGCTAACCAGAGGATTTTTTGTGCTTTTGTGGATCTGGAGAAAGCATTTGATAAGGTTATAAGGAAGAAAATGTTTTAAAAAGATTTACTGCGCCGACCCCAGATAATGGGAAATGGCTTAGAGAATGATGATGATAAGGAAGAAAATGTGGGAACTGTTGCCGGGATATTGTTGTGGATGGTTGATTGTTAAGGGCTGTGCAGTCACTTTACTATAACTGTAAAGCCTGTGTGCGGGTAGGGCATGACCTGTCACCCATGTTTAGCGTCCAAGCGGGCGTAAAACAGGGTTGTGTCATGTCTTCCTGGCTGTTCATACTGTATCTCGACAGCTGTTTACAGAAGCTGAAAAATAGCTGTTTGGGTGTGAAATGGGGTGACATAAAAGTTAATTGTCTGCTGTATGCTGATGATGCAGTGCTTATTGCACCATCAGAAGCTGAACTGCAGGCATTAGTCCCGTGTATGAAAGAGGAATGTGAAATTAAAGGTCTCCGTTTGAATGCTAATAAAACTAAGGTTCTGGTATTTGAAAAGGACGAAGAGAGAACGAAATGTGAAATATGGGTAAATCAGGAATGTCTAGAACAGGTAAATGAAATTGTATACTTGGGGAGTGCTTTCAGCCGGGATGGAAGATGTGATTTAGATGTGGATAGGAGTGTCGCTGCCGGAAACAAAGTCAATGGTGTCCTGAATGCATTAGTAAAAAGGCAAGGCGTGGTGAAAAGTGCACGCCTTGCAATACATAACGCAGTGTGGGTACCGACTTTGTTATATGGCAGCGAAACCTGGGTATGCCAGAAGAAGCATAAAAGCAAGTTGAATGCAGTGGAGATGCGATCTCTTCGTAAAATGTGTGGCGTTACCATAGCCGACCGAAAGCGAAACGAAGAGATTCGCAATATGGCAGGATTGAAAGATGACCTTATCACAAAAATTGATAGGGGCGTACTCCAATGGTTTGGGCACGTTGAACGAATGAGTGAAGACCGAATGGTGAAGAAAATATATAGAGAGAAAGTAAATATTAAAAGGTGTCGAGGTAGACCGAGACTAACTTTCGAAGACCATGTGAGCAAATTGCTCGAAGAGGGGAGGGTCAAGAGTACTTGGATACCTAGACGTGCATGTATGAAGAAGTTAATGAACCTGAAAGAAGCGAAAGAGATATGTAAGGATCGTGACACTTGGCGATCTGTTCTCTCTGGCTACCCCGTTAGCGATTGTGCGTGAAGATAAGTAAGTATGTAATAAAGTATCACAGTCTTTTGTCTGCAGTTACGCCTAATACCTACCTGTTTAAATTGTTGTGTGCACGCAATTTGTGTTCCTATTATCTTTATACCAGGGATCACTTCTCGCACTGCAACTGTAAGTAAACACGATCCATATTAATTTATTTTCTAAGAACCACTTACGCTATTACCATTTATTGCTTTTGGTTATATTTTCTTATATATCGGGTCGCCTTTTCCTTTTCAGCGCAGTAAACAATACTTATAACGATGTCACTTGTTTACTACCGTCTTATTACATAGTAGTATATTATATATTTTGTGAATTTGATAAAGAATCTAGTGGCTGTAATTATATTACATTGTTAATTACTCGTATTACTAATCTTAGCTATTCATTTGTATTTTCACAAGTAATATTCTACACTAAAGCCGTGAATTTCGACAACCGTTTTAATTTCTGTGTATTTCCGCTTATAGTATCAAACTTGGTTTATAAAACAAATGTTCTTATTGCATATTATTTTCATATAAGATGGTATAGGAAAAAATAGTTAATTATTACTGTGCACTTGTGGTGCTTTCAATAAGTGTACATGACACAATTTTAATGCTTGAAATCTTATTTATAACTTTTTATTTAGTTGTTACCATATATTTATTTTTTACACGAATAACCAACAAATACATTATCTGGCACTATAAGTTGAATTTCTTATGTATAAATTTTATTCTTTTATTCATATTGAATGTTTCAAATAATCATGATGGCTTCCTTACACGCTTACTACCAAAATGTTAGGGGCCTTAGATCTAAAACTCATGAGTTTTATCGTAATGTTGCAATTAACAACTATGATCTGATCTCATTAACTGAGACCTGGTTATTGGATGGCATATTTGATGCGGAATTATTCGATGATCGTTATTGTGTTTGGCGTCGCGATCGTGATCTTAATCGAACTAAACAATCGCGAGGCGGTGGTGTGCTTATAACGGTAAGCAAGAACATCGTAGCGGTAGACAAACCTGAGTGGTGTTCTTCAGCTGAAGATGTCTGGGTTTCATTGACGCTACCATGCCCTCGCTCTAAGCGCCACATAAAACTTAACTGTTTACCTTTGTAATGAAAATATGGGTGCTTCCTTCTCTGATCAAGTTATTAACTTTTGCAATACATTAGAGTCATTTATATCAGCAAATCCTAAGGACAAATACCTCATTATAGGCGATTTTAATATGAGTTCTATTTTCTGGTCTAATACTCAAACAGGTCTCGCTCTCGCTCGCTCGCTTGCGGTGCTAAAGGTGAACATGTGCAATATTTTATTGAAACTTTAAATTTCTGTAACTTGCAACAATTTAATCGAGCGTACAACACTTATAACCGTTTACTTGATCTTGTTTTATCTAATGGCTATGTAAAAGTTCAACACTGCCAAGACCCCTTGGTGCCGTAAAACCAGCATCGCAAAGCTTTATCAATTCGTGTTAACTTTGTCGAGCTTCAGTCCCTTCCATACTCTAAACATGTCTCATTCTCTTACAGTAAGGGCAATTATGATATAATAAACTTAGAGATAGGTT